AGCTCTGCGGATGCGGTGGGGAGTAGGCCCATCACTGAACTAATCCTGAAAAGACTGGAGGGCATGATCAACGCGGTGGACGTCACTCCTGTGAGACACACACAAAGAGGACGGGTCAGGAGACGTATTCTTGGCTCCAATCCACCAAAGCCAGGCATGATTATGATGAATTATGTGAAGGAAAGCATGGTGGGAAACATATTATCAAGGACGTTAACGGTGGGTTTGAAAGTTCCATGGCAGCCAGAAAGATGCAAATTCTGCGAGGAGTCCATAATATCGGCATCACAAGCCACAATGCACTTGAGAAGAGCCCATAAGTGCAAGGAAATATCCTACATATGTATTTTTATTTTTATTTTATTTTTTATTTATCCTTTATTTAACCAGGTAATACCCATTGAGATTAAAAATCTCTTTTGCAAGGGAGACCTGGCCAAGATAGGCATCAAAATTACATCACATCATTACATACGTACAACACACACACATAAAAGCCAAGGAGTAGCAAGGAAAGGCTCGGGCAGGCGTCTGCACATGCAGCGAGATGCATGAGTAAACCCTCCGACATATCTATGGCGTACAACAAAACATGCACCCACTGTACCTCCACATTCAAGACCAAGAGAAGACTCTCTCAACACACAAGGAGAATGCACACAGCGGTATACTTTGGATTAAGGGAAGCGAAAGGAAAGTCATGTGTTAAGAGTGAGGATTAGGATGTTGAGGTATGTTCTCCGAAGGAGAAGACTGTGGAGTGGCATGATGGGATGAATGTTGGAAAGGTGTTACCCTCTCTTAAGGAGACGTTTCAGTCAACTCTTGGCAAAGCATGCGATGGAATATGGGGCCTTCACCCCCTTCACTCTACCAACAAGAAAATCAATATCATGAAAAGGGTGATCTGTAAGATGAATGGGACACTGAACAGTGGACAGATACGGAGGAAAAGGGTTGAAAGGAGAAACGCTATGGAGAGGCGAACCAAGGTTCAAAGATATAGACGGCTACAGAAATTATACAAAAAGGACAAGGCTAAGGTGGCGGCGTTAGTACTGGATCAAATGGAACAAGTCCGTTGAGAGATCCCAGTTGCACAAGTTGAAATAACATACAAAGGGATCTGGGAAGCGGAAGACGGATTCAAATCCCTGGGTGAATTTGGGTTGCTTCCCAGAGCGGAGAATGGATTCTTAGTAATGCCGATCACAAAGAATGAAGTCGTGGAGGCAAGGAATAGGATGAAATTGAACACAACATCCGGTCCGGATAAGGTACAAGTCAGTGCAATGAAGGTGTGGGATGCGGATGGCTCTCGGCTAGGGAACATATACAACGCAATGCTTTACGAGGGAAAAATGGCGACCTGCCTCAAGGGCAACAGAACAACCTTGTTACCAAAGAGCATGAGTGATGATAAGCTGAGGGATATCCGTTACTGGCGCCCAATTATGGTGGGCTCAGTACTGACTAGACTTATGTTGAACATACTTGCCAAAAGATTGGCAATGGCATGTAATCTCCACCATGCCCAGAAAGGTTTTGTGGAAGGGATGGGCTGTGGGAACAACCTCACTATCTTGGAAGGAATATTAAAGATGAGCAAAGCAAAGAACTCACCCATAAGGGTGGTGTTTTTTGATCAGTTCCACACAAACTCATTGAAGCGGTGCTGAGCGGCAGAGGAGTCGACGAAAGCATAAGGTCATTCATTCAAAAAACTAGAAGAGTACCTTCAGAATGTTGGACTTAATATTAACATCAAGAAATGTGGAGGGTTCATATGGAGCAAAAAGAGCATGCGGTCTCTAGCACTGAATGGTGGTAACCCTTGGAAGATCCATGGTGAAGAGCTTCCGGTAATTGGACCTGGAGACAGCTTTAAGTATCTGGGGGTCCATGTGAATCCATGCAGGGGCCTACTGCCACCAGACTTACCCAGCAAGGTGGAAGACATGCTGGACTGAATTTCCAAAGCTCCATTGAAGCCTTCACAAAGAGTCCACCTGTTGCAGGTATACGCCCTTCCCAGGGTGTTTTATGGAGCGGACATGGGGATGGTGGGTAATCGAGCCCTAGTGAAGGCCAACACTATGATCCGAACCAAGATCAAAAACTGGCTTCATCTGGATCCATCCACGATGAATGGCCTGATCTATGCTAGAAGACGAGATGGCGGGATGGGCATACCCAGGTTGCAATGCAATATCCCGATGACTCAATTGAGGAGAGTTCTAGGATTAAAGAGATCGGAGGATGAAACAACCCGGATTGTTGCTAATAAGATAATTTCACTCGAAATTATCAAAAACCTATGGCGCAGACACAGGGGTGAAGGCAGGAGAAAAGAAGTACCGGATTGGGACGGCGAGCCAAACCCAAAAACCATCTCGAGTAGGGCATAGAGAAAGATGGAACTACTCAGATGGAAAGCCCTCAGGTGTCAGGGCAGAGGTATTGGGTTTTTGAGAACGACCCCATAAGCAATGGATGGCTGACACTAGGGGTGGGTATTGCCAAAGAAGTCACGATTCGATTCGAATCACGATTCACAGGCCACGATGCGATTCTATCACGATGCATCACGATACTTGAATTATTGCGATGCATTGCAATATTTTCTCCTCCATGTTTTGTTTTTGAATGACTCGGCACAGTATCCCACGGCCGGAAATGCTTGTGACACAAGGCAGCGTGCGTCAACACATTTGCAGCGACATCTACTGGACTGGAAGTGGTATTGCACTTATTTTTGGCTGATGTTCGCCAACCATTCATGCAATTTTATTTATTCATTTTTTTAAATTAATAATCGATTCTTGGCATCAAGAATCGATGCAGTAGATCACGAAAATTAGAATCACGATGCATCATCATCACGATTATTTTGCACACCCCTAGCTGACACATAAGAAACCAATGACTGGGTCAGAGTATATTCTAGCCCTTAAATTCAGATCAAATATGGTGCAAACGCCTACAACCTTGAGTCGGTGGTCAAAGGACAAACCGTACAATGTGTGCAGACTGTGCAGGAAGGAAAGTGAAAATACAGTACACATAATTGGGAGATGCGATGTGCTCAAACCCAACAGGATGCATAACCACAATGTGGTATGTGACATGCCAGGGGCATTCGTATTGTGCCGCTAGAGGTGAAATTCTTGGACCGGCACAAGACGGACGAAAGCGAAAGCATTTGCCAACAAAGTTTTCATTAATCAAGAACGAAAGTTGGAGGTTCGAAGACGATCAGATACCGTCGTAGTTCCAACCATAAACGATGCCAACGATGCTGAGGGATTGTGGAGAGAGGCAGGGTCTAATGACAGTTCAGGGAGAAGTAGTGGAGGTAGGGTCTGAAACTAAATGAAGATTCAAGAATAAAATATTTTCTTGCTTTAAAACATCTACAGTGAGCAGAACCATCATATTAGGTGAATTTTGTGCCATTATTGTTGCAAGCAGAGAATATTTTAATTTTTCTCAATTTCCTTCCATTTGTTTAACTGTAATATTTTGCAAACTGGTTTTATATTTTCATTCAGATTTTTTTTTATTATTATTATCAAAGACTCTTTTTCAGATTGAGTTTTTCAATAAAATTTTTTTGCAATTTCTTTTTTCCAAATGATATTCAATTCTTACTTCCGGGGTGTGAATACTACATTCACATTCATTATGCACCAGTCAGAACTCATGCACACAGTGCAGCTATTGCACTTTGCAAAGATATGTTTCAGTTGACAAGACCTTTTTACAACCAGTACAATCCTTTCTTCTTTTGTGAGCAGCTGCTGATGGACTCCTACAAATAGAGACAACTCTAAAAGAAAAAAAAGTTTTTTTGAGAATTTTTTTTAGTTACTGAAGTCACAACTTAACTATAAGTATGCTTCATTTTCTAGGTGTCTGCAATCAAAAAAGTGCAGTCGGGAAAAGATTCTGTTCCACTCAGAACTGTCCAGTTAAAGCAAGTATGTGACTCAGAGTAAAACAATTTTGCATATCTGAGAAAATCAGCATCATATGGACTCTGGAAAAAAGAAAGCATTGATTTTCTTTATCTTTTTCTGCCCCCCTTCACCATATATCCATTTTTCAACAGGAAGGAACTGTGGCTATGGTCTCCTTTTGGAGGGAATGTGCCATACTTGACATCTCCTTGGGCGACAGAGTGACTTTGACTCATGTCAAATTCGATTCGAAGAACCACGTCCAGCTACAAAGCACAAACTACACCAAGTTAGAGGTATTGCATTTTTTCACTTCAAGGTTCAGTAATGAAAATAATGAAAAAGAAAATGTTTTTTTTTAAACTCTGATGATTTGCTCTAACTTCATGTTTTGTTATTTTCACAGAAACAGAAAGCTGTTGTGACCAAAATCAAGATTCTGGGAGCTATGGAAAAAGACTTTGCACCAGACATCACCGAGATTCTTCTTGAAGATGGAAGCATCTTGGAAATCGCTGGCAAACTCTTTGAGCCCTATGAGGACTCATTAAAAGANACCTCCATGCAGTACCTCTGTGGAACCCCTAGGGGTCGTGGACCCCCTGTTGAAGAACTCTGCCCTATATAACCATTCTATGAGCCCTTTAAGTTCGCTTATGCCTCCAGCCGGCCCTGCTCCTTGCGCTCAGTATAAATGAAGCTGCAGGGTATTCAGTCTTTCCAATATTAAAGTGACTGCAGTGGAATCCCACAGTGAAATATAACCAGCCTACTCAAACAGATTACCAGCTTAGGATGAGAAAAGCTCCCAACTCAACCCATCCATCCCCTCATCCCTCCTGCAGATCTTCACACCATTTCTATCTTATATAAGGGAGCCTTCACTGCAGCCTGACTCACACACACTGTAAAACAAAGTTTCATTATCATTAGGGTCACATTGTGTGTGACTGTCTGTGTGAGCGGGAGAGGGAGGGAGGGAGGGAGGCTTATGACTGAGAATGTGAGAGAGGACAACAGGGGAGGACAGATGGGAGGCAGAAAGCAGGAGGTGCTGCTTGCAGTCAGGAAGATGCTGCTGTGACATGCGGACCTAGTCTGACGCCAGCGGCTCTCCCTGAAAGCCTGACCGCAGACCCAGTGTGCTTTTTCTCCTTCCTCTCCCCGCCTCGCTGCTCTCCTCCGGTCCGGTTTGTGTCGCGATGCCTCCGGCCGCTCGCTCGCTCCCACTGCGCGGCTCCTTCCCTGCGGTTCTGTGGATGTGGCTGCTGTGGAGCAGCGTCTCAGCAGGAGGTAAGGAGCGCATCTCTTCCTCTTGCTTTCAGTTCTCACTGTTTTTATTTCACTTTTAACTCATCTGACGGAGAGCAGCTGGAGTTCAGTTTTTCTCAACTCGTTGTCTTTCTGTGTTTTTATTTCTGGGCTTCCCTGAGTCTGAAGCGGCGCTTTGAAGTCCCTGGAATAAACGCAGGTTATTTCCAGCATCTCACACCAACCACTGATTTTTATCTATTTATTTCTTCTTGGCACGGCAGTCCGGGCTGTGCGCGCGCGCTTCTTATGCCGAGCGGATCGGAGCCCACTCGTGTGCGTGGGAGCCTCGATCAGGGTGAATGCAGAGGAAGAGATCACCTGTCACTGGCGCTGCGGTTAGACTGTCAGTCTGAGCATCAGCTGGAGAAATAAACAATAGGAAGGAATGTTAGAATGAGAGAAGATCCAGGGAAGGAGAAGTGGATGTAAACAGATCAGCTTCCTCTCATTTGTTTGTTTGGATGGAGGTTGTTTTTGTTTTTTTGCTTTCTGGCACACGACCTTGCTGATGTGATGAGGGTTAAATTCATATTCCACATGTTTTAAAAGCTTTCATCTTTGATATTAATACACTAAAAAGAAAAAAAAGGATTTTGTTGATATCAACCAAAGCATAAAATGTTAATGTTTTAAAAAGCTCCCTCTGCTGAGCTCAGTCTGTCCCTCTGATCAAAAATAACTTCATACACTTTTGGTTTTGGCTCAGTTCTGGAGGAAAGCAGTAAGAAAAGTGTTTATTTGCTTTGTGATGCATGATCATGTTGCTGTTTGTTTTTATTCACTCGCTTCTTTCAGCAAGTTGACTTGATTTTCCTCCCCAATCAGAGTCAGAGAACTTATTCTACTCTGCTAGTTGCTGATGGACCTAAGGGGGGATTTACCAATGCAAGGCAGTTGCCTAGGGCCCCAAGTTCCTGGTTACCCCTATGTCATCAGAACGCCACCATATTGGATCAGTCTTTTTGCTGCACATGTTCAGAAAGGTCCAGACAGCAGCAAACCATTTGAAAACAAACAATACGAAGAACAGTGTTGCCAAGTTTGCGCTTTAGTTGCTATATTTGTTGACTTTTCAGACCCCTCTAGCACTTTGATTTCAAAAAAAGCACCTAGCACCAAATCTACTGCTTTTTTTCTGCTACTGGAGACTTTGGCGACAACATCTAAAAGCAGCGAACTCTGCTCTCCAGAGCGAGTAGATTGGTAACCCCGCTTCCTGCTCTCCTCTATCTTGTCTGCTGTCATGATTCATGCAGCTATTATTTAATCTAAATGAAAATTGGAGAACAGATAAGCAGATCAGGACTTGTCTAGTGAAAAGAAGGACTGGGTTATTTACTTTGGCCGTCGCCTTTTTGGAAACTCAGGAAGGTGTGGTCAGCTAAGTGGGCTTAGTGATTGTAAAAAATCTTTCATTCCTTTTGAGACAGCATGAAAAGTCAGCTGAGTACAAAACATAGATGGAAAAGAGCGGCAAAACCTAGAACAAATAATGGATGTCTATTCTATTCACATTTCTATGTCTGTATAATGGGTCTGTTTTATGTGTTGTCTTCTCAATCAGAGCCCCCCCTGCCTGTCTTTGCCAAGGGCCCAACATTTCCTAAATCCGCTCCTGGATGGACCATTAGTTGAATTCACGCATTAAGAATGTAGAGGCATAGGCAGGGCTGCTGGAAGTACTTTTGAACACTTTTTTTTTTTTTTTTTGGATAAAAGACTTATGAGCCTATAGGCCTATTTAAATTACAATAAAAATATCTAATTAATAAATTGAGATTCACTACTTTGCAAGGGTTTGATTTCAACTTTGGTATGGACACTATTGGTCTTAAGTTTGATTGGTCTGATGTCCGGAATTACTCAAGAATTACATTATTAACCTTTAACACGTTATATTTTAGTATGCTTACTATTTTTGGTGAGGGAAAAACATCATTTAAGTCTTTTTAACAAAATAAAATTGAGGCCGACCCTGATGTATATCTGGATGTGCATGCACAGGACGGATCATGCCTCCGGGACGATCAGGTAGTGGTAACGCTGCTTTTTTTATACATGACATGAGCACCGGAGAGCATTTTGCTCAAAGAAAAAAAAAATCAGTATTTCTTGCTACATTTAGTGGTTCTTATGCCTGCACAGCCTCAAAGGGTCGTCAAATAATGAAAAGAGTAATAGCAAAGAACTATTGATAAAAAGGAAACATTTTCTTTTCCAGTAGCTAAGAATCAGACTGTTTGATAGCTTACAGTCTTTGATTGTCCATTTTCCCAGCAGTCTGCAGAACTCCTGTCTGACTCAGACTATTAAGTTTTATAAAGAAAAAATAAGGTTTTTGTTGATAAAATGTATTATACTTCATTGGTTACTTACATTTCTCAAGTTCCACAAATCAAACCTCTCTCTCCTGCTTCTTTACAGAACGGCAATCAGCAACTTTCTCCAGTTTTAGCGAATATAATGTTTTTTTTTATATTTGGGACTAGTTTCACAGCCTAATATTAATTGTAATAACCGCAGCATTCTAATGTGAATACAATCTAAATTTTGTGCTCCAAGCCTGTACTCACATGCACGCACTCACACGCACACATTAGAAAATAGCCAATCAGGAAGAGATAAGGCAGAACTTAAGGCAAACAGTGCAGCACAGTTACAGTACATGCGCTGCTAAGTTAAAGGGACAGCAGAGACCGGGCAGGAAGTCGGACGCAGCAGCAGCAGCTACCAGGCAGCGAAGCTGCGAGAGGAAAAGAAGCAACTGCTGCAAAACTGCTTAATTTAAAATTATAATCATGTTATTCAGGGACAAGTAGGTCTGTTCAAT